TCTGAAATTTTATTTATTTATTGCGGAGTTTGAATAATAAAAACATGAAGAAAAACTTGTCTTCTACAATTTTTCTTTTGGATAAACAAAATATCACCTATCTTCTTTTGAATTCCATCTTCCAAATTAAAAAAATATTCATTTTTTAATTAATTTTTTTTTGACTCGCTAGAATGGAAATGCCCTATAGTTTTGTTTTTTTAATATTTTTCTTTAATTTATATTCTTAAATATTTTCATTTTTTTACTTCATTAGTTTTTTGTAAATCTTCTATTCTTAACAATTTGCTGTAAATTTAATTTATTTCTAAAATATATTAATGATTTTTCTAATTTACTTTTGTTTAACTGTCCAATCCCACTTTTTGATGCAAAATTTTACAAATTTCTATGGATGGACCAAATGTGTTTTGGAAGTTTTTTTAATATTCTCAATGATGAATTTGGTAAATAGTTTGAAACATCAATTCTTGAAATGGGATCATGTGGCCTACATGTTGTATATGGTGCATTTCAAGCTGGTCCTAAAAAGGTGAAATAGAGTGTTAATGCAGTACTCAAAAGTTTGTATAAACTTTTTCATTATAGTCCTGCTTGTAGGGCAGATTATCAAACAATTTGTGGAAGTGATAAGTTTCCTCTGAAATTGTGTTCAACAGGATGTGTTGAAAATGTGTGTCAAAGAGCTTTAGAGATTTATGATAATGTGAAATTGTATGTCACGCAATCTAAACTACCTAATAATTATACTGTAAACATTGTTACTGATGCTGTCAATGATCTTCTGATGCCTGCTAAATTTTTTTTTATTTTTTATATTTGGCTCAATTGTAGAGACATTCCTCAAGACTTTTCCAGTCAGATTTTCCATTAGCATCATTCCTATATCAAGAGCATGAAAAGCTAATCAGGTCTCTCATGCAAAACTTTATTAAAAAAGACTAATTCGAGAGAGTAAAATCTGTTATAAAGCTAATGAAAATAGACTTAACCGCACACAAGTGTCACTAAAAGAAGTAAAAATTGGTATCGCAACTTTTTCTCTACAAGGTAAAATAAAATTAAGTGAATGTCAGAAGTTACAATTTCTAAGTGATTGTATTCAGTTTTATATTGGAGTTGTTAATAAACTGAGAGAAAAAAGTCCTTTAAAATATAAACTTACATCTCAGCTTTAAATCCCATTATTATATGTTCTAATTTCGACTCAGGAAAAAACAGAATGACAGATTTACTCACAATTCTTCATGAATCTAAATGGGATAATGCTACAATAGCTGATAAGGTCAATAATCAGTATCATGATTTATGTGATCTTGCAAAAGACATCCATAGATTAGAATTCACAAATTAAAGTGTTTATAAGGATAGGTTGGATATTTTTTAACCCCTTTTATAAGCCAGAATTTTATTAACTTATTTGAAGTATACAAAATTGTCTTTACTTTGTCACATGGTAATGTACAAGTTGAAAGTGGGTTTTCTATCGATTCAGATGTTCTTGTTAAAAATTTGCATGAAAGCTCTGTGGTTACCTAAAGACAAGTTTATAATGGAATTAACCACTTTAGTGGAGTTTACAATGTGGAAATAACAAAATTAATTATCAAAAGTGTAAACATGTCCCATTCAAACTACAAAGACTCATTAAAACAAAAAAGAGAAGAAAAATTGCGAGAAAAACAAGACTGTATTGATAAAAAATTAACTTTGCAGAAAATTAAGAAATGCTAAAAAACAAAGTTAAATCAACATCATAAGGAAGATATACGTGAGATTAAACTAAAAAAAAATAAAAATGCTATCACGCAATGAACAGATGCATGAACAGATTTTTTGTTTAAAAAGATTTATATTCTTTTTCTTAAATTTAAAGAAAAATTTTTATTTTGAAGTATTTAAGTCAAAAACCAAAAACAATTTTATCAAACCATTTAAAATGTTTATTTTTTAATTAATACTAACTGAGGTATATATAAGCATCCGTGTCTCTAAACGGTACAAGACGAAACTTGACGAAACAATAAAAAATATTATTTCGATAAAACCGGTATGAAACAAAACAATTTTTATACAATTTCGCAAAAATCGGTACAAAACGAAACATAATTTTTTTGTTTTGTGAAAAATATGGTACAAATCGAAACAATATATATATATTTTTTGTAAAAACTGGTACTAAACAAAATAAGATTATACTAAATAAAGAACAAAATTACCGGTACAAAACGAAATAAAGTTAAACTTTTTAGTTAAACTTTCATTTATTTAGTTCGTGAGTATTAAATACGCATTCATTCTGCTTAAATGTATTAGTTCATGTATTGCTCAGATTGTAGGAATTGGAAAATATCTGTTTGGAGCGGGGGAATTATGAAACGTTCCGTAAAAACCGATACGAAACAAAAAACAATTTTCTTGTTTTGTAAAAATATGGTAAGAAACGAAACAAACTTTACTTGTTTCGTAAAAATACAATACAAAACGATATGATATTTTTTTGTTTTGTAAAAACGGCATGAAACAAAATATATCGTTTTCTACTGTGACAAGCCGAACTTACGAAAGGATACAAGAAGACGCAGTGTCTAGGTATATATTTGTAAAGTTAGATTGTATCTTTGCTCTTTTGCCAATTTTTAAGAAAATTTATTCATTTGCTATTAAAATTTCCAAAAGAACATTGGGCAAATGGGACCAAATATATAGGATATATATTGGCGTATGCATATTTATTTTATACTGTTGTTAGACTGCTGTTTGTTTTATTGTTTAACTCTTTGTTGTTATTTTTGTAAATTTTGAAGCTTAATCTGCTCCGGTGTTTTAGTTTATTTCCATTTTTAAATACTAGTAAAAATATCAGTGAAGAACCAGAGTTTATTTGTGGATACCGCTTTTTTCGGCAACATCAATTTTCAATCATCATTTTAATCAATTGTGTTTATCTTGTTTAGTTTTATCCTAAGATAAAAAGATTTAAAGAAATTTTTTTATATATGAATTTAATGGTGGACAAATGTTACTTTAGTTACGATAAGAAAACTATTTTACTAATGACTTTAATAAATGCTTTTGTTCCAAATAACACACTATTAGTAAATAATTATTGAAAGTTGTTCAAAGTATTTTAAATATTTATTAACTATATTTTAGTAAATTCAATTTTATTAGTTAATAATGTTTTAAATAAACATTAGTTAAATGTTTAAATACTTTAATCAATTTTTAATTAATATTTACATTACATAATATATTTACATATATATGAATCACTAATTTGAAAAAGGGGACATGTCCTGCAAAAGTTCACATAACATGTCCCCTTTTTCAAGTTAGCAATTCATGTATACATATATTAAATTGCACAACATTTGTAAAATTAAAAAAGTAGTTTTATGTCTTGTATTCAAATAACTATTTGAATAAAAAAACATAAGCATTTAATAAATGTATTTACTATTACTATAATTTTAAAATTTTGATAATATTAGCAAATCTGTTTATTTAACTTTTACTAAAGGTTAATAATTTTTAGAGTAATTTTAAAGCGCCTTTTAAATTAAAGATATTTAACAAAGTGATAATTACGCTAAACATAATTTTAAAATTGTTCCTTTTTTTTTTTTAATAAAAACATACTATACATTAAAAAATATTATATTTTTAAAATATATTATATTTTTTTAATCATTAAGTATAGTTTAAAAAAATTACGTTTAATAAAGAAGTTACAACTACTATTGGTTATTTTAAATAGATCTTAATAAGACTTTTATTAAGTTATTTTAATGTTATTTGTATTATTTTAAAAGTCAAAAAGAATATGGAAAAGAAACAAAACTTTCTGAAAAAGTTTACGTTTCGTTTTTTCGTTTTCATTGCATAAACTAAAATAGCAAGCTAAAGATCATAAGTTCATTCAATAATTAAATTTTCCTGATTGTTATTAAGAGTGAAATTTTGTTACTTTTGTTCATTTATTATCAAAAGCAGTTCACTCTTTTTTTTTTGCCAAAAACAAAAGTTAACTTAACTCTGAATGGATATTTTAAAATTGTTCTATTTTTCGAAAAAGAAAATTTTTTATACATTAAAATGAAGTTTTGTAATAACATTCATTTTTTTAAAACTAATGTTCAGTTAGTAACCGAAGGACAGCGTCATTATGTAAAAAAAACAATTTCTTTTTAATTCATTTTATTGACCTGAAGAATAAATGAGGTAGCTAATTAGCTTTTCATATATTATTACTTTAGTAAAATTGCATTCTCCTAAAAAAAGTTCATAAAAAATCTTTAACTTTTGTACAACCTTTGTTTTTTCACATGAACTTAGTTTCTAGGTGGTAAACTTTAGCAGTTCAGCCATTCATGTAAAGTTTGAGTTGCACAAAAATCTTCTGTAGGTTTCTTGCACATTTACTGGGTTTATGGTTATGGCATCAGTGGTATTTTTTGTGCTTGCAGCAAACTGGTTTGCATAGAGTGTGTGGCTAAATGAAGCCAAAATATATATTTACCATCACTTTATGAATGAATGGGAACAATCACATGAATATACACTTAAGGCACACTTTTTAGTAGATACTAATGCAACCTAACATGGATTTTAATACAATTTTTTAGTGAAATAAAAAAGTTAAAAAAGGTGGCCTTAAATCAGTTTGACATGATTTGAAATGATGAAACAAAGAAATATATATAAAAAAAAGAAATATATAAAAGAAATATATATATAAAAAAAAGTTTAAAGTTATTTAAACCTATCAAAAAAATTATATCATGATGTAGGTAAAAAAATATTTAATCTTTCTTGCCATATTATTTTTTTGCCATTATTTTGGCAAAGAAAAAATATGGCAAGATTTTTTTTTTAATTTTTGATTTAAAAAAATTTTGAAATAATATTCCTGAAAAATCCAGTTGCTCTCATTTTCGTTTGACTTATTCAAGAGATTTATCATGCATTAGTCAAAGTTTATAGTTGTTATTTTTTAGGAATTTTCAAAGCTGGTGAGAAACAGTTAGGGAAACTTATCAATAAGAAAGTTATAGATTTTTTTGGACAGGAACGATCTCAAGAAATTTCAATTATTCTCAAGGATAGCTCAAATACTTATAAAAATGGAATCAGTAATTTAATATGTTTTATTGATTTTAATTTTAGAGTTAAAAATTTTATTAGAGTTAAAAATAATTTTTTTTTTTTTTGTAAAATTTCTCTAGAAATTCTTTATTTTATGTAGCTTTTCCGCGAAGATTTTGCATCCAAATTCTTTGTGAAGAAGATGGTAGAACAGATATAGCACTTACAGCAAAGTCAATAGCTAAAATGTACACACAAAAAAAATTGGATCTTTTAAACATTGATTTAAACTACATTGATAAGTCTTTAAATGGTAAGATTTTTTAAAAATAAACATTTCTTTGTCTCATACAAATAAAGATCTCTTTATAAGAACTTTACAAATTTAAACAATTAAACATTGTTTTTAATCAGACATTATCTTGGTTTTAAGAACAAACATCTTCTAAAATCAAGCCCCATTGTTATTTATGATGAATATAGTTTTTTATCATATATCTATTTCTTTTTCTTTTCTTTTTTTTAAGTACATTAAAAATGAACAAGATTATTAAATTCAAATATAACAAAGTTTAAAAGGTTTTAATCCAACCAACATAAGCATTTTTTATCTGGTGTTATGGAAATGCGATCAAGATGAGTTATTTACAAATGTGCAAAAAAATAAACTCTACTGCATTGTATATTTGTTATTTTACCAAACTAAAAATGCCTATCAAGATTTTATGTTAATATTTTAGATAATTTAATAAAATATAATTGAAGTATATTATGGTGTCCTAACTGAGCACTTATTAAAAATATAATTATAGTATATTATGGTAACTAAGCACTTGTTAAAAATATAATTGCAGTATATTATGGAGTCCTAACTGAGCACTTTAGAAAGTTTAGAGAATACTTAAAGTTTTGTTTTCTGTGACAGAAATGACTACAAGTTGTAAAAGATTCAAAATTAAAACTTTAGCAATGAAAGTAGGAGCAAGATGACAGGAACAGTGTGGTCATTAGATTTAAGAGATGAATTAGAGAAAAAACTCTTTGCAAATATTTCTACCTAACCCATAGGAGAGCCGATAAGATCAGACCAATGTAAGAGAGACAGAATTGTCAGTCTTACTTTTTTTTTTAAGATTTTCCATGTAAGAGAGAATTGTCAGTTTTTTTTTTAAAGATTTCCTTGTAAGAGAGAATTGTCAGTCTTTTTTTTTAAAGATTTTCCAAAAATATCTAGTTTCTAACTTTTGAGATAAACTATGAGATTTAGTTTTTTTTTTTTGTGTGTGTGTGTGTGCATTTTTTGCAATGAAACGAAGAAACAATTGTTCTCAAGAGTCTTATTCTTTTGAAAAATAAGATGATTACAATTAAAAATAGTTGCCCCCCAAAAAAAAGCTTCAATGCTTGTCTGAAACCAGGAAGCACAAGGAAAAAATTGTAGAGTCAATCAGTCTCAGCATTTGTCATCTTAGGCAGGAAGCAATGTTGCGCTGGTTTACATCTATGCCAGCCTACTAGATGAAGTAGGGGGGTGCAAGGCTGGTTAACATTACTTTAAGAACCTGTTATATTTTTATTTTTATTCAGAATGAACAAGAACTGAAAATGCTAAAGTTATAAATAAACATGGGTTTTAATAAAATATAATGGTATTAGTTTAATTAATCTAGTTAAATAGTTTTTTTTTGCTTTTATTTTAGCAATAAAAAATATTCCAGATCCAGATATGGCAATCCAGTTTGGTCCTGTTTATTCATTAATGGGGTTTTTACCCTGGCAAACAAGACTCACAGAGATTTTGTAAGTCTTATTTTTTTTATTTGTTTGTATATAATATGTTTTCAGTGGTAAACCCAGAGTTTTTAGGATATACCTTCTTTTTTTCGGTGACAGTAGGGGGGAGGGGATGTTCTTGTAGTAACCCTCTCCCCAAGTTAAAAGCCATGCCACGACTATGATTTTTAAATACCACTTTGTTTATTATCCAATTTTTTATTATTGTGTTTACTTCCTTTATTTTTTTATTATACAAAGATAAGTAGTTGATTTAAAATAGTATCTCATTGTAAAAGCGATTTCTTTGAACATACTATTTAGCAATTGACATTTTTGTTACACTATTATATTTAATGTTTTAATAAACTTCTTTAAAAGTTGAAAATACTAGACTATTTGTAAATATTTATTGAAAATTGTTTAAAGTATTTTAAACATCAAGTAGCTATATTTTAGTAATTTAAATTTTAGTAGTTATTAAATGTTTAAAATAATTAAAACAATTTTTAATCTATAATTACAAATAGTGTAGTATTTGCAAAATTAAAATTATAGTAATTACGCTTATTAAAAACTTATTATACATTGTTTAAATTATTATACGTTATTATACCCTTATTATACGCTTATTAAACACCTACGTCTTGTTTGTCTCAAATAGTTCAAAATAGTTGAATAGTTACTGTCTTTATATAATATAATATATTATATGAACAATAACTATTTGACTGCAAAATGTTAACGTTTATTAAGCTTATTAACTAATATTTTATTTCTGCAGGCTGAATAAGCATGAGTTTCATAATTGCGAACTGGTAAAAGTGCAAAGCAGTTGCAAAAACTGGCATAAATGCGCCAAATAAATTTGCAATCATTGGCATAAGTGCAAATTGATATATATTTATCTTTTACTAAAGGTTATAATTTTCACAGTCCTTTAAGACATCTTTTAAATAAAAGAGATAATTATGGTAAACTTAATGATTAAAAAAATATATAATTGTAAAAAATTTGCCTACATTAAATAAAATGTAATTTATTTAATGTGCGCAAATTACATTTAAAATTTAAATAAGTTAATAAATTATATTTATTTGATGAATTTAAAAATTACCGAAGATTTTTTTTTTAATTTAAAAATAATTAAAACTTGATAAAGCCTAAAATAAAAAAACTTAATAAAACTAAAAATTATGGTAATGGTTATTTTTATTTAAGTCGAAAAGAATATGAAGAGAGAAACAAAACTTTCTAAAAAAATTTTTGTTTTGTTTTTTTTGTTTTTTCTAAAGTAGAATAAAATAGCGAGCTAAAGATCAAAAGTTCATTCATTTAAAATTACTATATAGGGGAAGGTTGCATAAGTTAAGCAGTGTAATGTATTATTCTTCCAAAAGATTACAAAAAAATATATATTTTTTTAAGAATAATGATAATTTCATCTTTCTTCTCAAAGAATATAAATGAATAGTTCATTTAAAAAAAAAATCTGTATATCAAAAATTGCGTTTTCTTCAACATACCCAATCATTTCATCTTAGGAAACCAGTTTTCTAAGATGAGCTTTTTTTAACTCAAAAAAACTCAAAATAACAAAAAAATTATCACAAAAAAAAGTTAAATAAAATTGTATCTTTAAGGACTATACTTAAGTAAAAAGTAATTATCTCAACCATAAAAAAAAAAAAAAACAATAATAAATCTTTCTTTATCTATAAAAAAGTTAACGTGACTAATATTTAAAAATACTTTCGCTTTTGAAATACCAAAAGCTCCGCGGAGAATAACTTTAAAAAACACGCTTTTCTTAATAAAAAGCTGCATCTCATCTTGAGCGTCTAAAAATGTATCATCTTAAGCAACTTCATTAACCCTTTTGTGCCAGAATTTATTTAGGCGATTTAAAAAGCGCAATACTATTTCACGTAAACACTTAAATACATGGGTTTCCTTGCAAAATAAGTTAAACAAAGTATATATCCTTGGAAAGCAGGCAAAATTTAAAATCCAAAAATAGAAATAAGAAAGTAAAAAAATTAAACCTATGACGTCTACATTGTTTCATATTGATAAAGAAGCTTTGCGAATTTTAAATAGTTGCTAATTAAGCCATTCAAATAGCTAGCTGTATTGTTTTAAAAGTAAATAAAGGCTTGTAAAACGGTGCAAAATTTATTCAGCTTTCATTTGATGGATCACTTTTCTAATTTAGATAATTAGAAATTAAATAACTAACATTTTTCTCTGGTAATGTCAAATTTTTATTTATTTATTTTTTGTTTAATTTTGTTATTCAATAAAAATAATAAAAATACCTATAAGGAAAATTAACTAATTTGATAGGATACTTTCCTTATTTAGATAAGCAGAAAATAATAAACCCACCCTTTGTGTAAAGCAAATACAAGATTTTTCAGCTATTTTATTTATTATAATTTGTCAACACAAGTAAATGTATAGATACATAATTTTAAAAATAAAACTATGAATGCCACATATTCCAACAATTAGAGACTGAATCAAGGCATAAATAGACATTGCAAAATGAACAAAAAACATGTGATCTACAAATACCTTTTGAATGACGCTGGGACTGACCAACTAAAGTAGTTTTTCGAATATTTTCAGAACAATTTTTGCAATCTCTTGGCTTATCGTTTACCAAAGGTTTATGAACTCCAACATTTGTATGTCGTAGTGTAATTGGTTCATTTGAATTACTAGGTCTTCCACTATTCTTAGATCTAGTATTTCCTATTAATTGTTCAATAAGTTCCTCACAAAAACTTTGATGACTGCGGGCACGATCGTCAATCAAGCAAGACTCAAATACAAATGCGTTATGAACACATATTTCTAATAGGTGGTAAAAGATTCACCTATACCATTTACTTGATTTTCTTCCACAATTATAATACTTCATGATTTGGTCTGCTGAATCTACACCACCCCTGTTGGCATTGTAATTTTTAATTGCAGGGGGGCATGGAACATTTATTCCACCAACTGCCCCTTTTTTTCCTTTTCGCTTCACATATCTTGTACTGTTTGCAACTTTGTCATCATAATTTAGATTGTGAATTGTTGAAAGTATATGAACAGGCTTGCTGTCAATCCAGACCTGTGCCAAAACTGAACCACACATTCGGCAATCACTATACCCGTGTTGTAACTTCATTTTTCTTTTTGATATAATCTCCTTGAGAAATTGGCTGCGATCAACTCGTGCAGTACCTGTTGCATAAACCTTATTTGCGTAAAGATACTCAAGCAAACCAACTTTAGTGTAATAGTTATCTAAATACAGATGGTATCCTTGTTTTAAAACATATTGGGTTAGTTGACGGACAACAGTTCCTGCAAGATCATGGTGCTTTAGTCCATCAATATCTTTTCCAGTGTAAATCAAGAACTCTGATATGAACCCGGTAGATGACTCCCAATCAAAGCCATTACCCAAGCTTTTATTCCAAATCTTGTACGTTTGCTTGGAATAAATTGTCAGAAAAAGATTCTTCCCTTAAAAGGTATCATACTCTCATCAATGCAAATGTCTCTTTTTGGTTTATAAAGATTTCTAAACTTAGGACAAAAGTCATCTAGCAACATAAAGACTCCAATAGTCACATGCTTGGCCTAGGCATTTGCATTCGTAAGAATTCACCTATTTGTCGGGAAACTAGGTTTGAATACACAGACTACTCTTTTATGTGTTTTCGTTTAGCACCACTTCACTCTATCACCTTTCTCTTTGTTCTATATCGCTCTTCTTCATCTCAAGACTGCACTTTTCTTGATGTTATTTCTGATTATATTGACCAAGCCCTCATTCTTTATCCATCAGCCAATATTGTTGTTGTCAGTGACTTTAATGTTCATCACACTGAATGGCTTGGCTCTAGTGTCAGTGACTCCGCAGGCATTAAGGCCTACAACTTTTGCCTTTCTCAATCCCTAACTCAAATAGTCAACTTTCCAACTCGCTTTCCAGACAATCCAAATCATTTACCTTCTCTACTCGACTTATGTCTTGTTTCTGACCCTAGTCTATGCTCAGTTTCTCCACATTCATCCTTAGGGGATTCTGATCATGGTTTGGTCTCTCTAAAACTATTATCTCATTCTTCTTTACCATCAGAATCTCCCTATCATTGTACATCTTACAACTACCTTAAAACTGACTGGGACTCTTTTCGTGATTTTCTTCGTGATGGCCCCTGGGTAGAAATCTTTCGTCTTCCTGTTGACAAATGTACTTCTTACATAACTTCGTAGATTCAAGCTGGCATGAAATCCTTTATTCCCTCTCAACGATTCCAGGTCAAGCCTCACTCTTCTCCATGGTTTTCCTCACATTGTGCTGCTGCAATTGCCAATCGAAACCATTACTTCCATATCTATCAGCAAAACAATTCTCCAGAAAACAGACGCCTGTTTATTACTGCTAGGAACCATTGTAAAAAGGTTTTGTCTAATGCCAAAGCCCACTATTCTCAGATCATGAAATCTCGTATTTCATCACAAAAATTAGGTTCTCGTGACTTGTGGAGAATCTTTAATAGTATCAATAATAAGGGCAAGTCTGTAATTCCACCTCTTTTGTACGGTTCAGACTTTGTCACCTCACCTAAAGACGAAGCTGAATTGTTTGCCAAGAACTTTTCATCAATACCATCTCTTGATTCCACTAGTTGCATTCTACTTGATATAGCCGTCAAACAGGTTGATCCACTGCTTGACATCTGTATCACTTCAGCTTCTGTATTTAAAGTGATTTCCTGCTTAGACTCTTCTACAGCTTGCGGCCCGGACAACATACCTGTTATAGTCTTGCAGAAGTATTCTCCGGAGCTGTCGTCTATCCTTTCAAAACTATTTAACAAGATCTTATCAGAGTCTTGTTTTCCAGCCTGCTGGAAAGCAGCATCTGTTATCCCTATTTTTAAAAATTCTGGAGAGCGATCTGACTCATCTAACTACCGTCCCATTAGTCTTCTTCCTATCATAAGCAAGGCTTTTGAATCTTTAATTAACAAACACTTATTCTCTTATCTCAAATCTCATAACCTACTTTCTGATCATCAATATGGATTTCGATCTTCTCGTTCTGATTCGCTAACAGTAATAACCGATAGGTTTTATTGCGCATTAGATAAAGGTGGAGAGGTTAAGGCCATCGCTCTTGACATTTCTAAAGCGTTTGATAAAGTTTGGCATGCTGGTCTTCTCCATAAGCTTTCTTCTTACGGTGTATCTCGAAACATCTTTAAGATTATTGATTTCTTCCTTTCCAATTGTATAAAAGTTGTCCTTGATGGACAGCACTCTTCTTATTCTGTAACCTCAGGGGTTCCTCAAGGTTCAATCCTTGGCCCTATACTCTTTTTAATTTACATTATCGATCTTCCAGATATTCTCACATCTAAGGTGGCATTGTTCGCTGATGATACTACCATTTATTCTTGTCACGATAAGAAGCCAACTCCCTCTGATTGCTTGCAGGGGGCATCTGAGCTTGAAAATGATCTCACTTCTGCTACAGCTTGGGGCTCACAGTGGCTGATGAACTATAATTCAGATAAAACTCAATTTTTTCCAGCCAATCGTTATCGCAATAATTTAGACCTTCCTATATTTATGAACGGTAATGTACTCGATGAGTCTCCTAACCTTCATCTTCTAGGATTAACTCTTACTTCTGATCTTTCTCGGAAACCCTATATCAAATTTGTTGCAAAATTAGCATCTGCTAAAGTCTTCTCTTTATCGAGCTCATCACTTTCTTACTCTGGATTCTATTTTCTATTTCTATAAATCTTAAATCCGGCCTTGTATGGAATACTGTTGCCATAACTAGGGCGGATCTTCTAATGATGCCCTTTCTCTTTTAGACAAGCTGCAGAAACGCATTGTAAACATAGTTGGACCTGCAGCCAACTTTCAACCTCTGTCACATCGTCGTAATGTTGCTTCTCTTTCTGTTTTCTACAAATACTATAATGGGCACTACTCTAAAGAGCTATCGTCTCTTGTGCCATCTACTAAAATTCATTCTCGTGTTACTCATCATTCAATTAAGTCTCATCCTTTTTCTGTTACTGTTCCTCCAAAAACTCTTATTTGTCTAGTTTTTTTCCTTGAACATCAGTTTTTTGGAATTCGCCTTCTTCATCTTGCTTTCCTGATTCATATAATTTGCAATCTTTTAAGTCGTCTGTCAATCGTTGTCTTGCTCTACAATCTTCATCTTTTTTCTTCCAGTAACTTCCAACACTAATTAGTGGTTGCTTGCAGCCTTGTTGGAATCGAAGATGTTAAAAAAAAACAAAAAGCATACATACCTTGAAGAGTTTGTGGTATCCTTCATTACCCTCTTGGTATTGCTGCTGTCTTGTTGCAAAAATGAAGATAATGGTGAATTTGTCTAAATCGATCACGAGACATTACTTTACTAAAAGATGGAATAGCAAAAAACCAATGTTTTTGTCTCCAGTAATCATGGATACGTGGAAGTTTTATTATTCTTATGGCTAAACAAATTGCTATAAATACTTTGATATCCTTTGACCTAACATCAACCCATACCATTCTATTCTATAGAAGAAAATTGTAACCTTCTTGATTGGTAGTTATTGGTTCCAGTGACAAATTTTTGTATTAAAGCATTATCAAAGAACAATTCAAAGAGAAGGATTGGTTTGATATTTCCATCGCAATTAGGTATTGCAGATCTTCTAAATGTTGGTCCTGGTGTCGCCATAAATGGAGTAATAGTTCTAATAATTTTAACTTTTTTCCATTCTCTATTATCTTTACTAATAGTAGGCTTCTTGGTCTTAATGGTATGAAGTCATTTACTAGTTGGTTGTTTTCGGATTTTTCTTTTATTATTTACAGTATCATTGCTATCAGCAAATGCTATTGTAAAGAGTCCTTTATTATCATTAGTTACTGAATTATTAATAGAAAAGTCGACATCTATATTTTCTGTTAAATCATTTTTGGAACTAACATATTCTTCAGATGATGAAGATGAAATTATTTCTTATGATAATGACTGACTTGGTGATAATGTCATTGCAAATGGAGCTGTTGTTGAGAAAATATCAGGCATCAGTTCTTGGAATTGGTTGTCATCAGACTCTGAAGACTCAGAAGACAAATCACTAACATCGTCCATTTCATCAAGGATTCGAAGAACTTCATTTGGATCATTTATAATCCTATTTCTCAAAGCCATCTGCGCTGAAACCGTCTAACAACTGCATATATTTTTGTCAATTATCTTCAGTGTTTTGAACATAAAAACTATCCGTGAATTAAAAATTCCAAATCTCCTAAGCTCAATTCATATGTGTAGAAGCACAAAAGATTATTATTTAAGACTAAACAGGCTTGAACTATAATTTTTAGAGAGGTGTTTTGATTGATATATCCAAGGCGCACATATGTGCGCCTTCGGCATGAAAGAGTTAAGTACTATCATAATTTAAATAGTATGACAACTGCTTATGTATTATCTCATATAACTCATGGAATTAGCAGTAGATAAGCATAAAATATTGATGATGTAATAAATTTTTGATAGTCTTGTTTCGTTCTGACGTAATTACAAAATATTGAATAATAAAAAATTATAACGGGAATAGTAAATTTTTCTAACAGTAAAACAATCAAAGAATATTAACTATACAACCAAGAAATTAAAATAAATAACACCGTTGAACTTGTATGAATATCCTTAATCAAAAAAGTTCGTGAAAAAATCATAAGTCTACCCGTAAAAGAGGTTATACCATCTTAGGAACCTGCTCATCTTACGCAACCTTCCCCTAGCTATTAAGAAATTTTTACTTTTATCAAAAACTTTTCAATACTAACAAGTTAAAGTTAACTTTACTCTAAATGAATATTTTAAAATTGTTCTACCTTTTGGAAAAACATGATATTTTTATAAGTTTTTTAAATTTTTATACTTTAAATTGTTTGACTAAACCAGATTAATAGAAAGAACATCATCATGCAAACAGCATCATACAAATAGCATCATCATCATACAAACAGCATCATCATGCAAACAGTATCATCATAGTAAATTAAGTGTTTTTTTAAAAAAAAAAACACCAACAATGAAAAAGTTGTAAAACATTGGTCAGTTCAACTCATTTTTGAATTTAAAAAAAAAATAATAATAATAATACTAAAACTTTAAAACTGAGGGTTTAGAGCTTTTTTTTAACAGGTATTCAAATTCTCCGTTAGTACAATGGAGAAATGAGAATACGGTCCCAGGTTTGCTAATTCAGACGTTATTTTAATGCTCAGTGTTGACGCTATTAAATTGTAGTTTCCTTTTAATTCATTTTCTAAAGCAACTTTAACTTCTTGAACAACAGTTTGTATTAGATCAACATTTGCAAACGGATTCATCATATTTACTAATATACTGATAAAAAACATTATTGAAAGAAATTGAAAAATTATTATGCTATATAAATATTTTTTTGCCATGTAATTTAAACTTAAAAACTAAAGGAGGAATGAATATTCTTTACAGAGCACTTGTAAGAAGTAACTTGTTTTTATCATATGTTCTCACAAGAAATTTGGAATTGTTTTAAAATGTGTGAATAAATTTGTTCCAATAGTGAACCGATCGGGGGTGATATTTCTATTATTAGTTTACTTTCATTATTAGTGTTAAATAATTACTCTTGTTGTTTTTTTTAATGAAAATAAATATATCTTATTTAATGAGTATAATTATATATATATATATATATATATATATATATATATATATATATATATATATATATATATATATATATATATATATATATATATATATAAATCATAATATAAAAATCAAAAATTTTAAAAGTTTCAAACTTTTTTATTAATTTATAATTTTCATTAAAAAAAAAAGTAAATTCTATTAATATTTATTCAACTTTGACTATTTTTTATTTCCGATTTTATACACACAGCATTATTATGAATTCAGTAATGAGTACTTTAAAGGACAAGAAAGAGAAGAAAGAAATAACTTTTACTAAATTGATTTAACTTTTTTAATATTGTCATTGTTTTAATGTTTTTTTGATTTTTATATTTTTATTTTAGTCACGTTCAAACCTACAAAAATATATCTTACGACACATTTCGACAATGTCTAGTTAAGTATAGTAAGTGCGACCAAAGATTAGGAAAGTAATTACAAATTGTGACATGTAAATTATTAAATATCTAAAGAACAGTTGACAAGAACTTCGGTAGACATTTGATTTATTTATTTTTATTAATTTGAAATAAATTTATTAATGAAAAAATATTCATAAATTTTTTTAAAAAAAATTTTAATTACATGTTTGTATTTTATATTTAAAATTAAAAATTGTTCTTGCTCTAACTTTTTGTGTTCCTACACTAGTTGTTGTAATTTGTAAAAAAAAAAATATGTTGGTTTTGAAAAAAATCAAAAAATATATTTTTTTAGAAAATAATTTTATAAACCACAAGTTCATTATGTAATATGCTTTTATTTAGCCCATTACCTCAAACTAAACATTTTAATATTATACAAATTTATTTTATTATGGATGTTTTGTTTTATCGATTTTATAAATAAAGAAATTATTTTATAAAAAAAAAGCGCGTAGTTAGTTTATAGATAACATTTAAAAAGTTATTTTGATTATTTATTTGGAATGGAAATATTCTATACCAATAACTCATTGTTTTCATTGTTCCTCTGAAATGTGCGGCGCAACTAATGTCTTCTCTTTAAAATCATTGCGAGAGCTTTAAAAGAGGTAACCTTGATATTTTAATTTGAAACAAAATGCATTAATAATAAATTATGAATGTTTGTACATGTTCTTTAAATTATGGAATAATTTAAACTATATAATAATTTATGGATATTTATATATAATAATATATTCTCATATATATGCAGAGTTGCAAATTTTTAAATTACTACATTACGTTGTTTTTTTCAAAATATGCTGGTGTGCGAATCATTTAAAACAAAAATTATAAACCGGTTACTTTTTTTGCAATAATGCTTTCAAAAAATTGTTGATTTTTCTTTTTCAAATGAGTTTTCAAAAGTAGACAGATTTGTAAACCATTGGTTATTTTCATTTATTGCAGTTTCAATTGCAGTTATTCTGGACACCTTTTTTTTTTTTTTTTTTTTTTTTTTTTTTTTTTTTTTTTTCCCAATGTTTGGAGAAAACCCTGCAATAGCTGAATATTTTGTGTAGCGCTAAAATTATTTTTTCTTTTTTAAAAAAAAAAAACACCAGACGAATGAAAAATTATCTCATTCTTTTATGTATGTTTAGTATCACTGGTAATTTGAGACATTCTCCTAACTTTGGCATTTTTCCGTTTTGTAGTGTTGATATGATCTACTTGTAATTGTACTTGTACTTTTTATGTACTTTCTAGAGCAATTCTGTTTTCTTGAGTAGGATTTCAAATTAGATCAGCATTTGCTTTCGGGTTTATCACAATTTCTGATTGATTGAGACCGGCGTGTGTGAAAAAGTTACTAATCTAACTTATCTTAAGTATCTAACGTGTGTGCTGTGGCCATCAAGTACAAGAGTACCAGGAATTTTTTTGGAAGCTGGAATAAATATTTTTGTCAGCCATTGGATAAATTATTTGTCTTCCATCCAACCTGACAGTGAAGTTGTGTATTTTGCGTTTTGGGTTCTTTGGTACACCAATTTACTACGAGGTGTTTTTAAAATTATAAAGGAATAAAGTGTTAATCCAGCAGCATTTACTCTGTTGCCTATTTTTTGATTTTTTTCCTGTTATTTTAAAAGGACGATTTGAACCACGTTTGCAGAGAATTTTTCGATCATAATTGAAGTCAATTTCATAAAAAATTCAGACGTTAGACACAGAGCACTCTGCGTTAAATGTTTAATTAAGTTGCTCGTCAGTGTAACTTTATTTTTGTTAGTTATTGTGTGAATCTTTCTTCGTCAGTGTAACTTCATTTTTGTTAGTTATTGTGTGAATCTATTAAACTATTTAAATCAAATCAATAGTGCGTTCTATCATAAAAATGAAATATCTTTAAGGATCGCCCAACGCTAAATTTCACTAACAAACAAAAGGTTTCACTCGCAGAGCCTCAAGTTTAGTAAAAAATTAAAATAGCTGATGAAAATCGCAGCGTTAAAGAGCTTAAGATCTTCAATTTATTTTTTTTAAATAAATTTACCGTTTCGTAATTTATGGACGAAATTTCTTTTTTTTCTTTATAACCTTTTTCTGGAACGAAAAATTAAAATTTTTAAACTAGAAACCAAGTAGTTATATACCGTACGATAAAGAAAATCTACATAATAATGTAAAAAAAAATTCCAAATAGTTTTACCTTTTTAAGATATTTCATAAAAACTAAAAAGTTTTAAATTTTACATGCTGTTTTATTATACCCTCTTCTATTCTAATAAAATATCAAATCGTTCCAACGAGTTGATATTTTAACTTGGTTTTTATCATTTTTAATAAAAATGATAAAAACCAAGCTGCCTAATCAAAAAAAAAAAAGAAAAAAGTTTTCTTTTACTTAACCTATTTTTGCTTTAACATTCCGCTGCCGATCAAACTACATCGCAGAAATAATTCTTAAAAATTCTTAAACGTTATTTGAAATATTTTTTTCTCATTTTCTCCTTTTTCTCTTAATTATTTATAAGGAAGCATAAAGTCAGTTGTGACCGAAGTAAGAAAAAAAAAAAAAAAAATTGGTTTTTTACACTCGAGAAATTTAATGCTTTTGTTTAAAATAAAAATTAAAAATTAAGAGTCAAACCGCGCACGTACCCGTTGTTTTGAAAACATTTAATTAAAATAATTCCCAGCCGGCAAATAACGTTGAAATATCGTTGAAACCTAACGTTGAATTTACGTTGATTTAACGTTTAGAATGAAAGTTTTTTTCAACGTTGATTTATCAACGTTATATCAACGTTGATTCGACGCAAAAAAACGTTACAATAACGTTGAATTTACGTTGCTACAACGTTTAAAATAATAGTTTTTTTAACGTTGATTTATCAATGTTAAATCAACGTTAATTCGACGCGAAAAAACGCTACAATAACGTTGAATTTACGCTGATACAACGTTTAAAATGATAGTTTTTTTAACGTTGATTTATCAAAGTTAAAACGACTGTAAAACACAATTTCACCATCAAAACGTGCTATGTATGTCAAAATGTATATATGTATGTAAACGTGCTATATGCGTCAAAATGTGATCACCATCAAAACGTACTATGCATGTACATTAGTGTTGCTGTACATTATCAAGGTATATTATGTATATTAAATCTATTCATAGACTATACTTAGGCTATTTAGAACTTTTTCAGTTTAGTTTAGTTAAAATAGCTAGGTATGATTAAAGAAAGAGATAAAACTTGTTTTATTGAAAAATATATATAAATATTACATATATTTACATATAATTGAATAAAATCTACACGAATTTCTTCTCTTTTCCACCACCTTTTTGAAATAGAGCGTAATTTAGAAAGTCAAACAATATTCCATTAACCGAGATATCTTTTGGTCCATTAAAATACAATAGAAGAAGCTGTAAATAAAAAAAATATATAAAAAAAATCAAAAAGGGAAGATTTAAAAAGTATGTAATGAATGGAAAAGTGTTACAACTTATGAAGATATATCTTTTTTTTTTAGATTAGTGTTCTTAAAACATATTTTTCCACCTTTGCCCTTCATATCCGTGGAGGCCATATAACTTTTCGAAAATAGTCTGAATTTTTAAAAAATAATATAACTGTTAGTTGGTTATTAATAACTTTTTCAAATATTTAATTTAAATAAAACAACCTTTATTCAAAATAAATTAGTAATCAAAATATAAAACATTTCTAGCATTGAAAAAAAATTTTCGGGGTAGCCACATAAAATATTTATAAGAAATTTTATGTGGCCGTTTATTAATGATTTAACGTCCATGTTTATACACTTATGGGGCTTGGACAGGGATCAAATAATGTCATTTTTTATGTTAAATAGCATGCATTTGCTAAAGCAATTTTTTACAATTCCATGCACTTTAAGACGTTAACCAGTTTTGCAGACCGAGAATGGGTATTTTGAACATTATACTTCCATCAAAAATTAATTAGAGGATAGTAGAGGATTTTAGAATAGGTTTTTTTAAAAAAAAGACTTTAGAGGATTTTAGAGAAGCTGCGGACACCCTGATTATAAATGAGGTAAGAGTCTAATACTGTTTTTGATTACCTCAGCATAATTTTGTGTATTCTATTTTTAGAAGACATTCCACGTTAACTGTAATTGATTTATCTGTAAAAAATATAAAGTAAATCTAATATTATGCTTGTGGAGATATATTATGTGGAGAACCATCCAAACCACACAAGTGGAAAATTTGCATCCAAGTTTCCACTTGTGTGCAAATCTTGCATCCACTTGTCAACATTCTCATTACCAAGTTTTTCTTTTGTAGTTGTGAATTTAAAATTTTCACAATCCTGTTTGCTTTCTTTTGGAATTGAAATAGTTATACAAATAGCTATATATTTTGTATCAACAAAATAACTCTTCTTACCACATTATTTAAAAAATAATAATTGTAATATATAGATGTAATACCTGAAGAGAATTTAGTTTTTATTTGTATAAGCTTAAGCCGATTCTTCTCTGCATTTTAGTGCAGTCAATGCTTTGGTACCTGGAAGCCGACAAACAGTTTTATCACTAATCCAATTAGATGGAATTACCTCTTCTTGTAAATCTTCATTCCAAACAGCTCCTTTCCACATATTCGATTTTGAAAAAATTACATAAACTAATATAAAATGAAGAAACCATAATATAAGTGTACTGACAGGCCTAATTAAACTAGCTAAATTTGAACATTTTATAACCATGATACTTACTAAAAAATATTAGTAGACATTATTAGCAATGATAAGATTTTCTTTATTTATAAATTTATTATTTTTTAAATTCAGTTTAATTAATTTATTTATTACTCTATTATTCAGCAGAGTTCTGAATATATTATGTTCAAATAACTTAAGGCTCAATAACAAAGAAAAATAATGAAAGAATCCTAGGTTGCTAAAACATAAACATCTACATAAGATAATTATGGAATATTAAACAAAAATAGAAATACAAAAATACAAAAATACTCATTATTAATGTAAAATATAATAGTATAATATAAGGTATATTATAATATATGACACATTATATTTACTTTTAATTAAATAAAAAAAAGTATAAAAGCAACAAAAATTAAAAAAGAAAATATTTTAATAAATAATAAATTATCATTTAAACAATTTTAGAGACCAAAAAATAACTTGTAACTTATTTTTTTACTCATCTTCATCTAATAAACATTAATATTAATACCAATTTTAAACATTATTATAACTTTTTTTTTATTAAAAAATAAAAATATTACATCAGTTACTTTTTAGGCTTTTCTTACATTACTTGAAAAGTCAACTCAATTCTAGGCTTTTTTCATAACTGAGTTTTAATTTGTAATGTTGAGTTAACACTGAAAAAAAAAAAAATATTAGCAGACAAAAAGAACATATTTCTTTATCGAAATATATGTAAATATTTCAATAAAGAAATTTTAGATTGATTTTTATATATATAAATTTATATCAATCAATCTAAATTTTTTTCTTTTCTGCCACCTTTTCGAAATGGAGCACATTTTAAGAAATTAGACAAAATACCAACAATTAAAGTTTCAGTCACTCCATCGTATTTAATAGAAGAAGCTGTTAATAAAAAAGAATAAAAAAAAAAAAAAAAAAACACAAGGAGAAGTTTTTGAATATATAAAAAAATGAGAATAAAAAAGTTTAACATCTTATAAAGATATACCTTTCACTGCACCATATAAATTAGTGCTCTTAAAGCATATTTCTTAAAGCATATTTCCAATTATTGGAAAATATTCTAAATTTTAATTGATAAGAGAACTGATATTAATTATGCGAAAACTAATATTAACTTTTTCTTTTTAAATTAATTTAAACTGAACTCATTATCAAACAATTTTTTTGCTAAATAATTTAATCCTTAAAGTTCCTGAATAATTAAAATTTATTTTGATTACCTCAGCAGTATTTTGTGAATTCTGTCTTTTAAAGATATTCCATCAATTGCAATTCATTCACCTAAAAAAAAACATGTAAAGCTAATATTATTGTTTGAAATTTTAATTATCTTTATACAAATACTCATCCAACTTTTTAAGTGACTTATAAAAATGGATTTAATTAAAATAACTTCATTTGTATTAAAAAATTAATAATAAAGCCTTAATCATACATTATACAAGAGTATTTTGTGATACAATCTAAATAGTTGTTGCCATTTGTAATTTCTTTATTTGAAATTTAGCTTCTGTAAGCTTTAGAAATTTTTTAAAGAAATTATTGATGAATTTGGAGCTACGGGTACTAATGATTTTATATTGTTGTAATGTTTGTATTCATTCCCAGTTAGTTTCTGTAAGTTAAAATGTTTTAGGTGTTTCCATAATAAACTCTGTTATATCTGAAATTTAGTGTAAGTCTGAATAATTTAATTTCTAAAATCTGTTTTGCATTGCCTGTCTTATAACATCTTTACTTGGAACAAAAACCAAAGTGAGCTAGAAGCTTGAAGAAAATATTGCATTCGCTAATCCTAAAAATATATTAAACCTGTCAGCAAGATCAGCTGTCAGTAATCCAAGTATTAGCATCATTAAAAATTTATATTTGCTGCATTACATTTATTTTGGTTCAAGTAGTTTATCTTCTTTTGATTAATGGTGATACTGCACAAACTGATGAAACACATTGACAGATGTAAGGCCAGTATAAAAGTCGCAAGATCTATCATTTTTAAAAAAAATGTTTTTATACAAGTAAATTGTAATAACACGATTTGTTTGGATTATGTTTATATACAAACATAATGCAAACAAATCGTGTTTAATTATATTGTCTGGTTTCATAGAAGTAACTAATGTGGTTGAAGCTAATTTTTCATATAAATCTTTATTTTTTTTATTTCGTGCTGAAGTTCTTTTTTAAAGTTATAAATTTCCTTTTTTAATTCTTGATGCTCTTTTTTTAAAACTTTCATAAGTTTTGAGCATTGAACGGAGCATACGTGTTTACAAAGAAAGTTTTTTATATATTTGACTACTTGTATTTTTTGATTTTTGTAATGGAGAATGAAAGAGTAGTTACTATAGGAATGCTAAGGGAGTTGATGTCAATTCAATCTGACACAATTTAAAGTGTTTTAATGAAACTTTCAGATGCTTTCAAGAAAAAGTTGATAACTTAGAAAAAAGATGTTGAAGACCTTAAACGTGGCCTAAATTTTAACGGTGATCAACTTGAGACAAAGATAAGTATAGTTGACAAAAAAATGGACGAAATTAAAACTTTGTTAATCGGAATAAAATCATTTCAAAGCAAATTAATCAGCGAATCGACCGAGAATAAAAGAAAAACAGTCAACCTGGAAGATCGCAATCGCCGAAACAATTTGCGCATTATGGGTGTTGAAGAGGGACCCAATGAAACATATGATGATGTTTAAAAAAAACTCAAATCGCTGATTAAAGAGGGCCTCCAAATAAATGAACGAATAATCATAGAAAGAGCCCATCGGGTTGGAAAATTTGAAAACAAGCCGAGGACAATTATTTGCAAATTATTAAACTGGCAGGAAAAAGAACGCATTCTATCTAGGGCAAGAAATCTTAAGGGAAATATTATTTTCATCAATGAAGAATTTAGTGAAGAAACCATGAGAATCCGAAAAGAACTATTTGCACAAGCAAAAATGCATCGAAGCCAAGGAAAATATGCGAAGGAAAATATGCGAAAATATGCGAAAAATATACAACCGCCTACAAGGAAAATATGCGAGTATATATATACAAGGAGTATATATATACAAGTATATATATAGTATATATATAGTATATACAAGTATATATATATAGGAGTATATATATACGAGTATATATATACAAGGAGTATATATATATATATATACAAGGAAAATATGCGAAAAATATACAACCGCCTGATCGTACGAGAAATGCCGAGTATAAGCAATGCGACGACAAACAAAGATAAGTGAAAATCAATTTATTTTTATTGTCTTTATTTTTTATTGACTTAGATTAAAATTTATTAAACGATCTAATAAAAAATGAGTTAAACTAACAAGAATAATATAAAAATTAATATTGAAAACTTAGAATCTCCAATTTTAAACTTTTTGAGAACTTACAAAAATGAATATAGTTTTTTGACTGAAATAAATATAAGTTGTCTCGACTACTCATACTATAAACTTGACAAGTTTAATAGAGAAAAAAACAATAAAGATTTTAGCATCCTAAGTATAAACATAAGATCAATGAATAAAAATTTTGAAGCTTTTAAACATTTTTATTACTCTATAAACTATCTTTTTGATGTTATATGTATCTCGGAAACTTGGGAAGATGCAAAACTGCCTTTGTCAGAAAATTCTTTGTACAATTTATCATCTTATAAAATAATAAGTCAACCACGTGTTGGAAGCAGGGGAGGCGGCGTTGGAATCTATATTCTTGACAAGTTTGTATTTAAAACAAAAAAAACTTTTTGTAAAGCAAACAAACATATTGAAACTTTGTGTATAGAAATTCTAAATAAAACTGGTAAACCTTTTTTAATCTCGGTAAGCAAATTAATTTTCATAATAGCCTTAGAACAATTATCTCGCAAGTGAGTATTCAGAATAAACATATTTTTTTTTTGCTGGTGATTTAAATTTGGATGCAATGTGTTATGAAAAATTTGTAAATACAAAAAACTTTTTTAATTTATTACTTGAATTTAACATAATACCTACCATTTTTAAACCTACGCGTATTACAAAAACTACTTCGTCCGCAATTGATAATATTTTAAGTAATAATATTTTAATATAATATAACAGTGCTGTACACTTAAAGAGTGATGAGTCCAAACTACGTAGAGTTTGTAACTTTAACAGCTGTAACACACTAACATACAAACATAATAAAAATTAGTATTTAAAATGTTCATCCAATTTTTTTTTGAACTGGTTGATACTGACTGCGTCTATTGTTTCTTGTTCAAGATTGTTCCAGTCGTTTGCTACTCTATTTGTGAAAAAATTATGTCGTTTTATATTTCCTGTATATTGCCTTCTCAGTTTACTATTGTGTACCTCTAGTTTTATATCCGTTATCTAGCATTTCGGGTTTTGTGTAAAAATTTATAATATCGTGCCCTTTCAAATATTTGAATATTTGTATCAAATCACCCCTTCTTCTTTTGTTCTCCAACGATAGTAAATCCAACTTCTTTAACCTCTCTTCATAACTGTATCCTTTCAAAATTTTAATTCTAGAAGCTCTTTGTTGGACACACTCTAGTTTATCTTTATCATACTGACGATAAGGATTCCACATTTGGAATACGCAGCTCCTAAGCTGCGTATTCCAAATGTGGACGTACTAAGGCTATAAACAAGAGTTTCATTGTTTTTTCGTCTAAATATTTAAAAGTGTGTTTGATCTGACCTAACTTTTGATTTGCTTTATTTACTGCTTTATTTACATGGTATTTCCATTCCAAA